TGGCACAGAATACAGTACAGGAGATTGAACCCTGGACCTTGCGCTTGCCAGGCAGGTGCTTAGACCGCCGAGCTATCTTCCCAGGCCCTGGATTTTTTTTTTTTTCCTGTACCGGGAATTGAACTCAGGGCCGTGAGCTTACCAGGCAAGCACTTCTACTGAGCCATCTCTCTGCCCCATCCTTTCTTTTGTTTTTGACACAGTGTCTAAATCCCTAGATTACCCAGGTTGGGCTCCAATCCTCCTGCCCCAGCCTCCCAAGTGCTGGGATTCCAGGCCTGGCACCGTGCTGGGGTTACAGTTTCTTAGATTGTGGGATGAGTTTTGCTCGGTAGCACTTTGGCGGCTGGTCATGTGGGCTCCCACTAGTGCTGGCCTGTTCATCCCGGAGGAATGGGAGACGGAGCCTCCTGGGCAGAAAACCAGTGGCGCAGCCTCAGCTGTGTGAGTGAGCCCAAGCCCCAGAACTGCGGCTGCCTTTCATTGTGCCCTGCACGCCAGGCCCCGCCACTGTCCCCCAGCCTGAAGGCCTTGACCTGTATCCCATCACCAAGTCCCACACGCATCACTCGGGGATTCGCCTTCATTTCCTTACATCCCCTCAAGCATGAAAAACAGGAGTCACAAGCATGAAAAACAGGAGTCACAGGCCACCGTGTCTCGTAATTCTGTTTGTTTAAAAATAAAGCCAACGGCCAGCCACGGTGGTACAGCCCTATAATCCCAGCACTCTAGGAGACTGAGGCAGGAGGACTGCAACTTTGATCCTAGCCCAGGCAATCTGGTGCCTTAGCAAGACCTGGTCTCAGAGAAGGAGGGGCAGGTGGCTGGGGATATGGCTCAGTGTGAAGCCCTGGGTTCGGCCCCTAGTCCGGGCAGGGGGCAGACTTGCAGTATTAAGCAGACTGGGTGGGAGAGCCCCAGGGAGGTGTGGAGGGGGATCAATCTGAGGGCTGGACATTCCACAGTGTGCACTCAGGACCAGAGATGAGGGTGGGAGGCCTTGGGGGTGCTCAAGAAAGAGCACGGTGTGTGGGGCTGCAGGTGAGAAGGAAGAGCAGAGGGGAGAGCATGGGGGGGCACATAACTGCCCGAGTCATCCCCTGGCTGTGGCGGAGGCGGCTGCCCTCCCCGCGCACCCTAAGTGCACCCAGGACTTGGCCTGACCCCAGGCTGTGGCACAAGACGCAGAACTGTCACCACAGAAGCACCTGCTCAGCGCTGCAGGCCAGCACGGGTTAGCCGACGCATTCCGTTCTGGGAGAACTGGAGGCAGTGTCCACAGCCACCATCAGGCTGTGCACCGACTTCTACACAAGTGACCTAGGGTCTGCGGGCGCCGCGGCGTGGGTGAGCGTTCCTGGTGGGTGGCACCTTCCCCACGCCACAGGACACTGCACGGGAGCTGTCTGCACGCGACTGCACTGGAGACTGCGTCGTTCCTCACGGACTTCACTCTGTCCCTCTCCCTCTGCTGATCTAAGGTCTGCATCCTAAAAGCGTGCCTGTGAGTACAGTGGCTTTTGTGACTTTTGCGTGTCTTTCTAAGACACCATGCAGCCTAACACGATATTGAGGAGAGAACGCCAAATAAACCACCTAAACTGCCAAAGCAATGATCAAGGTTCACTGACTTAACGGGTACGGGAATACCTACAGCGGACTGTCCCGCGAACACGGGACAGGCAGCGCGGAGGACAGCCAGTGCGCCGTGCTCTTCAGGAGCCGACTCGGGGTTGGCACTGTTCCGGCCAGGATCTGAAGTGCTCCCCCACATTTTCACATGCTCACAGCGGTGCTCTGCCCACCAATGGGCTCACCCACTAATGAGCTCGAGGCTGACAGTGCTGTTAGGTGACGGGGTGTGGGGTGGGGGAACAGAAAGAATTAAGACGCGCTGTGTGCGTGCTGCGGTGCGCCCTGATTAGTGTAACCACCAAATGCTGCAGACATGCAGGAAGAAAACTTTCAAACATGTTGGAAGCTGACGAAAGGGGAGGGCCTGGTTGGATGGGCAGTCTCTGAACTCGGAGTCACCCTCGCCTTGGCTACCACAAGGTGACTGCAAAGAGGGTACCACAACAGCGGGGAGGGGCACAGGAGAGCAGACGTAACAGGGAAGTGGACAAGGGCTGGAGATGTCGCCCGCCGTAAACATCACATTCCCTCGCTGGTGTGAGATCCTGGAAACGTAAGTGAGATCATAAATGCACAGCAGGTATCCCTGTGAAGCAGGAAACTGCTCAAAGGGAAAAGGAAGATGGGGAGGAGGGAGACGGGAGGGAGGGAGGGAAAAATGAGAAAAGAACGATGAAAGAGAAACCGAGTTCTGTTCATGGGGAGGGGAAGGGGATTTGAAACGAGGGCATGAAGTGGGAAAAAAGAAAAAGAAAAGCATTTTGAATAGAGATGGATAGAAGCGACAGAACACGGGCGCAAACAGCAGCCCACCTCCTGCCAAGTGGCCAGAAGGAGGGCACGTGCACCCAGCGCCGAGGACATGAGGGCTGGAGCCCACCGCGTCCCCAGCGCTCCCTTCAGCAGCAGGGACCACAGCACAAGGCCCAGCACCCAGACCCCAGAGCAGCTGCACCAAGTGTGCGGACCACAGGGAAATGGCCGAGGCAGCCTGGATCTCGACACTTCCGCGTCGTGGTGAGAAGCCCAGCGCTGAGCAAAGACGGCCCAGCTCGCGGCTCCTGCCCAAGCTGCAGGGGAGCCCTGGCTTGTGCAATAACCAAATAAAAGGCATTCAAAAGAAGCAGAGTTCCTCTTGCAGCTGGCATTTGTAGGGAGAAAATCCCAAGGGCTCTACCAAGAGAAAAGGCCAGAAATAACAGCAAAAAAAGCCTGTTTCTACACAGCACCAAACATGGAGAAAGTGGAAGGCTATGTACCAATGCCATTTATACACTAAAAACATAAACATGCCGAGGATACAGCTCAGCAGCACAAGCACCTGTGGCATGCGCAAGGTCCTGAGCTCGATTCCCAGTACCAGTAATAAATAAATAAGTAAACGGTACTCCCCAAGCGTGGTGATGCTAGCCTATGATCCCAGCACTCTGGGAGGCGGAGGCAGGGGGAGGGGAAGCTCGTCATGAAACATTAATGAAATACAGTAGATTGAGAAAGATTTAAATGAAGACATACTATATTTATGAACCAAAAGGTCCAGCGCAGTGGAGACAGCAACTGTCGCCTGGCTTACACATTTAATTCAATTCTTATGAAGTCTACAAATTTTTTTTTTAATATAGACAAAATCAGCTGCAAGTTTATATGGGAAGTTAAAGAACCAGACATGTTAAATAAGGTTTAACTAAAAACATTCACTTGTGCATCGCAGAGACTCATCCCGTCAGCTACAGCAATTCAAAGGAGACCGAGAACATGTTGTTCAGCTTTTGAAACAATGTGAAGGCCTTTCCTAGGTCAAGTCTTCAACAGTCTTAACTGAGCCACAAAACGTGCCCGTTGAGTATGCATGTTTATTGCCTTAGATATAAAGACACTTGGTGGCTCGAGCCCCTGCTGATCCATACAACACTGTGCTGCTGAGTCCAGGAATTGGAGGCGCAGACATGCAGGAAACCCGCACACGGCCCTCCCCACACGCTCCCGCTGCTGGGCCGCAGTGGACGAGCACACAGCCCACAGGGCCGGAGGCCTGGCCCGGAAACGGCGCTCCCCTCCCCAAGGAAGCTAAGGAAAAAGGACAAAGTGCAGTAGACGTGTCAGAGTAAGTCTGAAAAGATCTGTGCTTCTGGTTCACTTTCTTCTACCTTTCCTCCTTTTACGAATAATTCCTGAGGGGCCGGGGAGATGGCTCAGTGGAATAAGCACATGCCTGGCAAGTGCAGGGGCCTGAGTTCAATCCCCAGTTCCGAAAGAAAAAAAAAAGAATAATTCCTGAGATAACACTGCATTGTAAACTGTGGAGAAAACGTAGCTGCAGATTGTCCCTTGTGCACACAATCCCCTGGTCTCTCCTGGATGGATCCAGAGGAGGGTAAGGCTCTAGGATGGGCCCATTTCTACTCAAGTCAGAGACGCAGTGGCGCCCTCACAGTGCAGATACTTATGGGGCTGTTCTTTGGTGTGAGGGGTGGGGGCTGAGGAAGCTCTGTCCTGTGGTGAGAGGGAACCCACAGGGCTTACATTCGTGAAGTCTTTCTCCATAAGGAGCTCCCGGAGGGTCACGGAGGTGTGGACGACCGTGAAAGGCCGGCCCTTCTCCCCAGCCCTGGCTGGGCCTCTCCCTGTGTGCATGCGCTGGTGCTGAGACAGCGAGGAGCTGCGGCTGAAGGCCTTTCCACACTCGCCACACTTGTAGGGCTTCTCTCCTGTGTGGATGATGGCGTGTCGGATGAGGTTGGTGCTCCAGCAGAAGGTCTTCCCACACTCGATGCACTCGAAAGGCTTCTCCCCGCTGTGGATCCGCTTGTGCCGGGTGAGGCCAGACATGCGCGCGAAGGCCTTGCCACACTCTGTGCACTCGTAGGGCTTCTCCCCCGTGTGGATGCTGAAGTGGCGGATGAGGTCTGCCCGGTTGCTGAAGGCTTTCCCACACTCCTTGCACTCGAAGGGCTTTTCTCCAGTGTGGGCCCTTTTGTGCAAGATGAAGGTGGAGCAGTGGGTGAAGGCCTTCCCGCACTCGCCACACACGTAGGGTTTCTCCCCGGTGTGGATGCGCTGGTGCCTCTTGAGGTACGAGCGGTGGTTGAAGGCCTTGCCGCACTCCAGGCACTCGAAGGGCTTCTCCCCAGTGTGGATGACGTAGTGGTGGATGAGGGCTGCGCTCTCCAGGAAGACCTTGCCGCACTCGCTGCACTCGTAGGGCTTCTTCCCCGTGTGCGCCTGCTGGTGCCACAGCAGGTACGACCTGTGCTTGAAGACCTGGCCGCACTCGAAGCACTCGTAGGGGTTCTCGCCGGCGTGCACTACGTAGTGTCTGAGGAAGCCACCCCGGTGTCGGAAGACCTGCCCACACTCCGTGCACACGAAGGACTTCTCCCCCGAGTGCCGCCGGCTGTGCAAGACGAAATTGGAGCGGTGGGTGAAGGCCTTGCCGCACTGGCCGCACGTGTAGGGCTTCTCCCCGCTGTGGATGCGCTGGTGCTGGGAGAGGTAGGACTTGCGGTTGAAGGCCTTGCCGCACTGCAGGCACTCGTAGGGCCGCTCGCCCGTGTGGACCATGTGGTGCTGCAGCAGGTGCGTGCTCTTGCTGAAGGTCTTCCCGCACTGCGCGCACTCGTAGGGCTTCACCCCAGAGTGGATCTTCTCGTGGCCAGCAAGCAGGCGCTTCTTGTTAAACACCTTCCCACACTCGCCGCACCTGAAGGCGGCTTCCCCCTCCTCCTCAGGCACGGCGTCTCTCCCTGGGCTGAGCGCTGCAAGGTCGGGCACAGCATCTCCTACGGGGACCTGCTCCTCCACAGTCCTCAGACACATGCTGTCATCCGTCCCTACGCCTTCAGAACCCAGGTTCAGCCTCCCAGGAAGCTTCTCCCCCAGGGCCTGCACCTCTGCCTCCCAGAGTCCTTCCTGTCTGTCTGATGGGCCACCCTGACCCACGGCTCCAGGTGTCAACTGTCCCTGAAGGCAGGCTTCCTCACACAAGGCTGGCTCAGAGGTGGCGGGTTCTGCGGTCTTGGTTTTTCCACTGTCACCTGGAAGAACCCAACACACAGGAGGGCTGTTAGTAATGGCAACCCAGAAGACACACCAGCACCCCTTTAAGAAACAGCTGCAAATGGCGGCTCTACAAGTGTCAGGCTGTCTCTGCAACGTCAGCTTCCAACTTTTGGGCTCCAGACACCCTGGAAGAGCGAGGGAGGGGCCGCGCCAGCAGGGGTCTCTGCGGGGTGCAGCTGGCACCCTACAGATGCCAGCCTGTTCTGCTGTGAGGGCACATGGGAGGCAGGAGCAGCCAGGCGTGGTGGGCAGGCCTGTAACCCAGCACCAGCCAGGCCTGGCCAGGTGGGGAGGCCACAGTTGCAACCCCAGACCTGCTGCTGGCTGAGACAGCAGGAGCCAGGCTCCAGACCAGCCTGGTAACTGGTGATGTCCCATCTCAAAGTCCAGCGAGGAAGGGCCACAGGTGTAGCTCAGGTCCCCAGCTTCAATCCCCAGTGGCACAAAAGCAAACCAAAACCCAAATGCAACAAAAAGTCCTGTCAGCTTTTGTTCAGACCCACGGAACGTGGCTCCTCAGCACAGGGCTTTTCCAGCACTCTGTTCTTTAATGCACGGTGGGCTCCTAAGACCACACGGACTGTTTGTGCAAGCTGATCATTTAGGCAGTAATCTATTATTGGTCCCTAGATAATGTCAGGGCTGGGGAGATGGCTCAGTGGAACAACTGCTTCCTTGGCAAGTGCAAGGTCCTGAGTTCAATCCCCAGTTCCACCAAAAACAAAAAACAAACAAAAAAAAAGTCTTTTTTTTTTTTTTTTTTTTTTCCGGAGGCAGAGTCTTGCTCTGTAATTCAGGCTGGCCTTGAACTCATGGCAGTCTTCCTGCCTCCGCCTGCTGTGTGCTGGTTACAGGTCTGTGCCGCCACACCTGGCTAAACAATCTACACCAAAGAGAGGAACTTGGGAAGGTCAGGCCCCCAGAAAGCTCAGTCACCTAAGTCTGCCTGCGCTGCAGTCACAGCACCCCCAGTGGACCCGTGGGAAGGGCAGATGCAGCAGACCCCGAGCCACACAGGCCACTGATTACTGGGTCACTTGTCCTCACACAGTGAGCTTCCAGATATTTCCAGACCAGAAGCCCAGGGGAGTCGAGTCACCAGGGCTAGCAACCCCTCACACTCTCACTACCGGATTTGAGGCTGAGACCAAGAGAAACCTGGGGCTGTGGCAGCTTCCCGCCTGATAGCTGCGCCCCACACTGCACGTCCCCCCCCCAGCTGCACCTGACAGGACCACGTATGTAAGGCCAGGGGCTCAGGGAGTCTGTGGACGGCAGTGGTGACTCGAGGACAACATGGGAAGTTCTGAATCTGGAGCTGGCAGCAGAAGGCTGGGCAGAGTCAGCATGGTGAAGTGGGTCCCTCAGGCCACCAAGGAGTTACCGTGAAGAACAGGGCATGCTGCAGCACACTGTCATGGTCGGTGACAGTCCTGAGATGGAGAGGAAGTCAGCCTGGAGACAACCTTCAAGCAATGAAGGGCTGGGTCCCTGAGGAACTCAGTGCAGAGCTCCCTGCGACCCCAGGCGACGGTGAGGGAAAGACACTGCTCTCCTATGTTGAGCCCCAGAATTCCGGAGTTTGGAGAGAGCTCCCAGAGGCTCCAGCTAGTAAGCCGCTCCTCAGCAGCAGGGACAGTGTGCTGGGGTCGGGACACGAGAGCAGCCATGGGACAGAGGGCTCCACACTTCCACAATGCCCCCAAGAACAGGCTCCAGGCAGTGCACATGTGTCAATCCAGTGCTCTGGGAGGCTGAGGCAGAGGGACTCCAAATTCAGCCCAGCCTCGGCAAGGTGGTGACAGAGACCCCTTCTCGAAGTAGCTCAGTCTGACAGCCCTAGGCTTGAGCCTCAGTACACCTCACCCAATCAAAGTAAAGCAGATCAAGGAAGACCGACCACCCCATGCCCACAGCCCCGGGGGACGCCCCAGCCCACGGGCTCTTACCCAGCCTCACCGGCCACGGCTGCTGCCCCTGCTCCAGCCGCTGCATCAGCTCCGGCGTGGGAACAGGACACCCTGG